TATATATATATACATATATACATATATATATATATATATATATATATATATATATATATATATATATATATATATATCTATGTATATATATGTATATATGTATATATATGTAACAAATAATATAAAGTGATAAATGTCAAAATATAATAAACAAAAAGATAGTGTATCAAGTCACACGTGTCATTGCTCATGTGATTGGCTTGCAGGGCACATATGACTAGTAGTGAACATATGCTTAGAGACATATCTCAATGCTTCACCAATGACCGACCAAAAGAGTGGATAGAGTGGCTTCCTTGAGCTGAGTGGTGGTATAATACAACTTATCATTCATCCACAAAATGTACTCCCTATGATACTATGTATGGCCGACCTCCCCCTGTGATCTCAAAATATGTGTTGGACACCTTTAAAGTAGAACAAGTAGATAGAAAACTACTGGACAAAGATAAAATACCGAAGTTGCTAAAATATAATCTTACTACAAAGGCAAAAGAGAATTTTTAGTAGGAGATTGGGTCTTCCTATGGCTCCAGCCATATAAGCAAACATCAATCCAGACCAAATCATCTATGAAGCTTTCACCTTGGTTCTATGGACCCTAATAAATTTTGGAGCACATTGGAGCGGTAGCATATAGATTGGACTTACCCGCTAGCTCCCGAATTCATCCGGTCTTCTATGTGTCGTGTTTGAAGCTCAAGCTAGGACAAAACGAGACAGCTCAAAGTCATCTACCAAATATGACTAGCCAAGGAGAACTCCAGACCCAAACGAGAGCCATTATTGATCGACGGATCATGACTCGACGACGACGACCTACTACTGAAGTGCTAATACAGTGGGCGAACCTACTAGTAGAAGATGCCACTTGGGAGAAATATAATGACTTAGATCAAATTCTCAGAATTCATGGATCGTCAACTTCGAGGACAAGGTTGATTTGAAGAGAGCAGATATATTAGGACTCTAGCTAGGAGAGTCATAATTGAGTTTCATTGAAAGGATATGCATGTAAAACCTATATAGCCAACCCCTATTAAAGAGGTGAAGAGACCGGTTAAGGATATGATTAGTTTGGAGGTTGCTTCTTAGAGAAGCATTATGAGTTGGTTAGAAGTAGGAGTCATATTAGGAGTTGGGGTTTAGAAGCCCTATAAATAGTTATATATTCATTCTCTTTTAAGAACAAATAGATGAATCTTTTAGCAGCCTTTGAGTAGCAACTTGAAGGAAGGAACACATATAGAGTTCTAAGGAGACCGATCCCCTAAAGTGATCAACTCCAAGCTTAGAATCCGCAAGGGTTCTAACAAGATACACAATAATTGAGGACAGATAGGTCCAATGGATTGGATTCCCCTATATCATTTGGGGACTGTAGTGTAGTGACCTAGTACGTCCGTAGTCGATGAGTCGAGTGAATTATTATAGAAATAATAATTCACTAAATCATAATGAGTTCTAACAGGTATGACTCACTGCCAACTCGATATTGGGCCTTGAGGGTAACATACATATGGTAGACATTGCGATGAGTAGAGGTTCAGATATGAGATATCCGCCAAAGTCCATATCTTATTGGATATCTAATAAATCCCTGAATTATTGGATCCTATGAATGAGATCTAATAAAAGCTAATGAGAGATTATTGGATAGAGATCCACTAATCTAAGAGACTTGGGTAGTTGGATGGAAATCCAATATCCAATAGGGTAGGATCAATTAGGGTTAAGTTGATAGGGGACCTCTATAAATAGGAGGAAACCAATGGTTCATAGGCTAGAGCCTTTTTGGGTTACCATCTCCTATTCTCCTCTCCCCTTCTCCTTCTCAAATAGTAGGCATGAAGATTTGAGGAGCATCGTTACAACGTTGTTGTCTGGATCATTGCTAGAAAGAAGGAAGCTTGATATCCTTCATCCTCTCCTACAGATCTGTAGAGATTTAGGGATATACGATTTCCCTATGTAACATAATCTATCTCACATATGACTTTTAAGTTTCTTGAATTTTATGCACCAATCTTCGCACGACGACGAATACATCTTTGTAAATTTTGGAGATTTTGTTTTAATATTCTTCCACTTGCATATGATGTCGCCTCATAGATTTCCTTATAGAACCTAGTTGAACCGATATCTAATCCTCATTTAACTTGTCTGAAACTACCTTAAGCTAGTATAATTTAGACTAAATTAAATTTAAATTAGGTAAAACTAACTTGAATAATTTAATCAATTTGGAATCATCGTAAATTTATCTGATTAATCAAGTCTGATTTAGTTCAATCAATATTTAGGTTCAAATCCAACAATTACATAATATGCTAGTCATGTGCAATGCACATAATTGTGCATGCATCACACTAGGCTAGGCCAACCTTGGCCCACGGATTAGTCATATGCATCGCACATGACTTCCCATGTTGGGTTAAGCTGGATTAGCTTGCGGGTTGTTTTAATCATATTCCTATCCAATTTTATCAATATATATTCACTAAAAATACAACATATATTCACTAAAAATAATACATTAAACACATAACAATAGATTAAGGAATAAGATTGAAAGATACACTTCAAAAATAATATTTTTTATTCAATAAAAATTAGAAATTATACTTTCAATACATATGACATGAATAATTTCAACATGATCTAATCAAACAATAAAATTCTAAATCTTAAAAGGGATAAAATTTTTCAGATAATGTATTATAATCTAATAATAAAAATTTTAACATTTAAAGGATTAAAAAATAATTTATAAACTACTAATTGTATATTTTAATCCAAATAAGATTAAAAGATAAACTGTAATATGAGAAAATAACATTCTTAATCCAAATATGAAAAATCAGATATCATGTATTTAATACATAAAATATGTATAATTTTAATATGTTTAAATCGAAAATAAAAACCCTTAAAGAGGATTGAAGAATCCCTTAAAAATTTTAGATAATATATTTTAATTCAATAATAAATATTTTGATATTAAAATGATTGATAAATATTTTAAATGATAAAAAATTAATATTTAAAGAATCAAAATATAAACTTTTATTTTCAATAAAAGTAGGAAAACCTACCTCTCTTCAACAAAATGTAATTCCTCATTTTTCTCGTTGCTAGGCTCAGTTAAGTGAGGAATGAAGAAGAGAAATCCCTCCTCTTAAATAGGAGGAGGTGAACCTCCATTAAATTTTTTTTTTAATTTTTATATTTATTTAATATAAAATATTTTTATTTAATATACTAACAAATATGATATCATCGTATTTGGAATGCTTAATAGTCATTTTCAAATTCACAATAGCAAACAAGGAAATAATATTAATATTTTCTAAATTATAATGGTAAGTAAGAAAATAAAAGTTGATTCATAAATTAAATATTTGATTTGATTGTACTTATACTTTTGCTCGTGCATAAAATAACTTATCTATTTTCAAAAACATAACATATTAGCCCTTCTTATCAAATCTTAGTTAACAGACTTTAAAGTTTGCTTATGTGATATACTGACTTATAATAAATTATTAATATAATAATATATATAATTTAAATTAAAAATTGAGATCACCATCAATGGTGGGAGGAAACGTCTTCGTGAAAGCGACCACCAGTAGAAACAATAAGTCGTTGTTGCCTAACAGGGCATTGTACGCATGCAATCTCTCCTGCGTTGATGATAAGCTCAAGAGCTTCCGGTTCTATCTCAAGTGGATGTGCATTGACCAATCCGACGCTAAGCATACAGTGATCTCCTAGTCCCTCTTCCTCCTCTTAGGTGTTTTTGTCCCTACCGCCTCTCACTTCGTCCTCTCTTATGCCTCCACCTCTCGTGCCTACGATGTGGTAATCCAACACTTCGTCACTTCTACCTCCGCCCTCTTCTATCTTTGCCTCTTCGCCTTCATCCAACATTACGGTCTTTGTTGCTTCCTTTTTCTCGACAATATAGATTTTTTTTAAACTTAAATTAAATATATTATTATATTAATAATTTATTATGAGTCAATATACCGCGAAGTAGATTCAGATTCTAACGTTTATTAAGTCAAACTTGACGGGAAGAACTTATATGTTATATTTATAAAAAATATAAATATTATCTTACATACGAACAAATCATAACGATAATCCGTGGCTTAACTCTGTTAGTAAGTAGTTGTTTATTTTCTTATTTTTAATGGTTTTTTTGGCATGCCTTTTCAACCATACGAAAGCATCCTCTAATCTCGACCGTAGATTGCACTTGTGAGCTACATCACACGGATCCAATAGGTTTTCTTTTGCTTTCGCGTCCCTCGAACAGAGATACCGCCACCGTTCGATTAAACCGACGACATCGACCATCTCCCTCACTTGGTTCTGCCACTTCAAGAAACCCTGCCCCATCCAACAACCCTAGAAACGCTCCTCTGACTCCCCTTCGCCTCTCCATCTCTCTCAGGCGAGCGGAAGGCGCGGATGTCTTCGACCCTCCTGGAGGTGACGCGCTCCGCCCACGAGGACGTGGAGCGGCTCGAGCGGCTCATCGTGCGGGAGCTCCAGCGCGAACCGGCCAACAACCGGGACCGCCTCTTCCAGAGCCACCGCGTCCGCCACATGATCGATGTCATCACCAGCACCACCGAGAAGCTCGTAAGTTCTTGCGCGTTTTCCCTCTGGTTCCCCCTTGATACGGCCCTCATTTCTTTTGATTATGTTCCTGTTCTCTGCTTTCTTGATTCTGTGCGTTTCTTGTACAATAAATTGGTTTCGAATTCGTCTTTCGAAAGATTGATATATACGAGGACAAGGACAATGCGAGGAGAGATGAGATTGCGGCGCTCGGAGGGCAGACCGCAAGTGGCACAACCAATCTCTTCAGTGCGTTTTATGATCGTCTTAAGGAGGTAGGCGTTCTTTCAAGCCCTAGCCCTTGGAAAAGAAAATCACAATTATCAAGAAATTGTGATTTTTGACATTGAATTAAAAGACACTTGCATCCACTAGGACGTTCTTCATTCAAAATCTTGGACACTGGGCGTATGTTACATCCCTTGTCGCATATAGTTGCTTTATCTGATGAAGTTGGGCTAACTTAATCTTGAAATGGTTAGGCATTGCTTTGGTTTGCATGTACGTTTTGGTAATTTTTTGTTTAGTATACTTTTGTCATAAGCTTCTTTCTTGTTTACCTCACGTATTAGCCTTTTTGTTGTTCAGATTCGTGATTACCACAGAAGACATCCAGCTGCTCGCGTGGTTGATGCTACCGAGGATAATGAAGAGTTACTAAAGGAAGAACCACATATTGAGTTCAGTGGCGAGGTATTATCGGTTCCTATTAGAATTCAGGAGTTTATAAATGTGTAGTCATTTCATGTTGCTCTCTCTATGCACTACTGATATTTTTGTCTAGGCCGCATATCTAGACTTGATTCTATTTCTCCACCAAGGAACCATTATCACAGTTCAAGCTTATTCTATAAAATCATCTGGTGGCAACTCCATGATTTAATTTATATACTTTTTCTTTATTACCGATCTGTAACAACGGAGGGGTAACTAGAAGATATGTCCCTGTTATATTTTCATTCAACAGTATTTATTATATACGTAATCCTCAAGACCATCTTTGGTGATTTTAATAATAAGTAGATATAGGTTTAGCTGTTTACAAGATTAATGGAGTACTGTAGTGGCATGTGTATTATACCTAAAACATTAATGGTAAGCAGTAAGCACTAAAATTAGCAGTAAGAATGAAGGGAAGCATATGCGGCAATGACCCATAGATGTGATTACATATTTCAGTTGTGGGAACTCAGGATGTTGCCATGTTGTATATGCAATATTGTATTAGGGACGTAGTCTTACCACTGAATGAAGCTGCATAATTCTTGTCTGAGGTGATCAGATGACAACACACCTATTTGCATGCATATGAGCTGCTGCAAACATTAGGATCCTTGTTAAAATTTTAACAATCCTATATTGATTCAGTTTAAGTCGATTCTGAGCCTAAGTTGGTTTAAGTTGTGTGAGTTGAGTTTAGCATTTAAAAACTGATCAAACAGCCACTAATCTCGTTGGATCTATATTTTTGTACTTCGTGTATCCTGACAGGTCAGTGGAGCATAGATAATACATTAGTAATTATGATTGAATCTTGTGTATCTTTTTACTGTTGTTTATTGGTCCTTTTCTTCTAATTATTAAATTGTATAAGTACACATCTTGGTGATCTTGCCTCTAGATGGTTTCTCTATCGATAGTGGGGGCCAGGTGAATACAACAACACCAACAAAGTCGTAAGTCCTAACTATTTAGGATTGGCTACATGGATCTTTTGCTGTCATTAATATTTGTAAAAAATCATTTAAGTTTAGAGTACCTAAATCTTTATTTATAATTTTTATTAAAATTTGTTTAGGTCTTTCTTGTACCGCTAACATTAACCATTTCACATCTTGTAACTATCGCATCTAGAGATCTCTTAAGCACATGTGTATACCTTCTTAAATTATTTTCTCTCATCTTATCCTTTATCGAAACGATACTTAGTTGTTCATGAATAAAAATATTTTTATTTCTTCCTTTCTTAGTAATTTCACATGTCCATCTCAGCATTTTCAGAGTACAGGGATATTGCATGGTTCATTTGGCTACTGCATCTCTTGTTAGATTCTTGGTGAAAAAGTGTGTATTATTTTATTTAAACCAAATCATTGTCATGACAATTGTTAGAAGTCCTTTTAGACCATTCTATCTCTTACTGCTACATGATATGTTTGCACATCCTTTATATTTTGTTTAGGCTTACCGTGCATACATTTTCTTTTTGTGCACATTATTTACTGTCTAACGTAGCAACATTAAAATACTTCTCTTTTAAGACTATGGGTAAGATTGTCATCTGGTATATGTTGAGATTTGATGTCAATGCAGGCATGTGCAAAAGCATCTAAATATGGTTAAGTTCTTCCATTGATTGATCACCCATAACATCACTTGTGTTTGAAAATTCAAATAAAAAGAATTTTTATCAGATTTTCATTGGTCCACACATTGGTAATTTATGTGACTTATCTCAACATGGGGAAAGAAGGGTTGGGTCATCTTAAAGCTTTCCTTTTTGTGTACTCTTTTAAGTGTGTGAAACTTTTGTGAGCCACAATTCTGTTATATTTTCGTGCATACATCACAATACAGAACAAAATCAACCTCTTTTGTGATTTTGTACTCTAATTTCTGCAGGATTTTATGATTTTGCTTGCAGGATCATGCTGGCACACATGGTAAGGTCTAGGAATTTAATTATGTGTTAAGCATCTGTTGCCTTGTTTTCAAATATGGGTGTTTTTGGTCCTGTGAATATTTTGGCAAAGCTTTTTATTGCTCTCTCTGGTTAATATCTCTGGTCAACTTCACTATGATTTCTTTTACTGATCATCTTATCTTTTTTCGAAATTTTGGTTTGATTTTGTAGGAAGGTTTTGGTCGATACCTAGACATGCATGAATTATACAATGAGTACATCAATTCAAAATTTGGTGAGACCATGGAGTACACTGCATTTTTGGATTCATTTTCACAAACGCAAAAAGTTCCTTGCAATCTAAAGTTGAGCAGGTAAGAGCCTAATCTAGATATATTTTGCTATTTGATTTCATCCCAGATATGACATCTTTACCATTTGCACAAAATAATCTTGAATGGTCTTCACTGTTTTCCAGCAAGGTTTAAAATCTCAATTCGATGATAGTATTGATATCTTGTTGGATCGGTATGGTACTGATACACTAGGTCATATGTCAACCATGAAAACAAAAAGAATTTTGACTGTCATTGAACTATATGGGCCAGTACCCAGTCCTTGATCAGACTTGTAATCATTGACTATGTATTGGTTCAGTTGGTATCTGTATCTTAATCTGCAGTATATACCCTGTTTGTACCTTAATCTTCAGTATCTACCATGAAAACAAAAAGAATTTTGACTGTCATTGAACTATATGGGCCTGTACCCAGTCCTTGATCAGACTGATAATTATTGACTATGTATTGATTTAGTTAGTATTTTTACCTTAATCTTCAGTATATACCTTGTTTCTTCTTGTATTGCTTATGCATCACTCTTATCTCAATGGCTTTTGTTCTGGGAGATTGGAGGAAGATTATGATTTATCTAATTTTGTTACCATGTTGTCTGCCAGCTAATTTTTGAAGAAGTTTTCATGTGTTGTTGCTTTATTTATTAATAATTTTTCATGCGTTATTGCTTAACTTGTGATGGTAGATTTTGTTGAGAGTGAAAATAGTGACATGAACTGCAATGGGTATATCTGACGTTACTTCTTGTTGTGTTCTGCAGGCAGTACAGAGAATATTTGGAGCATGTTCTGGAATATTTAATATCATTTGTGGAGCGTACTCAGCCGCTTCAAGATCTGGATAGGCTATTCGCCAAGGTTTCTTTTAATGTCCTCTTCTAATTCAGCTACATTAATTAATTTGGAGAATCCTTTTGATATCAATCTGTTGAACGTTTTATTGGGTTTTGCATGAAGCGAAGCCCATTCTCTCTAGGCAAGCCATTTATTTATAAATTTCATTTGTGTGGGTAACCTGTATACCTGGATGCATAAATACACTCTTTGGCATGGGCTGCATCTCAGGTTGAGTTACTGTTGGGTAGTTTTGAGATGCTAAATCAGATAAAAAAATTCCAATTTGTAAATTCTGGTTGTCATAGTTACAACATTGAGATAAACACGTACTCGATTTTGTGTGTGTTAGGTTTCTCTTTCTATATTTCTTCTTTTCCATTACCCTAACTTTAGCTATTCCTGATCTATTAAGCATTGTGAACAAATTATGATATTTTCACCTTACCCTTGATATTTTGTTAGTTGTATGTTTGTGCAATATACCACTTTGCCTTTGAGTTTAAGAAAATTGGTAATCACCTTGCTATCTGAAAGGAGGAAAAGCTGTTGGTTGGATCCTTTAATTTCATCAAACTTTATCTTTCATGATAGCAAATTGAGATGTTTATTTTTCCGTAACAGGTGGGAACTGAGTTTGAACAACTGTGGGCTGATGGAACGGTTTTGGGATGGGAAAATAAGGGTTCAGAAGATGGTCTTATTCAGTCTCAGGAAGCTGTGATTGATCTTGATTATTACAGTTCTGTTGAAGAACTTATGGAAGTTGGACCTGAAAAATTGAAAGAGGTCAGTTTCTTTCCCTCTCCCATTTATTGTACTAAGTTTTCTAGCTTAATTCAGTTATCTTTGCAGTTCTCATATAATTTTGCACTATAAAAAAAATTCACATTGATGATTGTTTTATGGGCAAATCTACTTTTTTCACCTTCGTGATCTTAATAGAGAAATTAAATCCCGGTTGCCTTTTGCCTAAACATAGTCATCCCATGTTGCTATATATTTAAAAATGATGTGTAAGTTTAGACGTCTCTGTCTGGGATTCGATAGCTCTACTGTTGTTTCATAAATTTGTTCTTGTAGAATATAGCACAGATCTACAGCTTTAGTAGAGAGGCTGGTTGCTGGGGATGATCCCTTAAAATATTTTATCCTGCTTTATGAAGTGTCACCAACAAGGCTGTCTATCCAACAAATGGTAATAGTTCTCATTGTCGGGCTTATTGTTTGATCTTTTCCAATGCTGCCCCATGACTTGATAAAGAAACAGGTTAGGCAATTTTTTCCATCATAAGATTTGTTAGATTTTCCAATGTTTGATCTTTTTCAATGGCTGAAAAGGATTCAACTAGCCGGCCACCAATATTTGGAACTGGGGCTTGTCTTTGTTGTAAAGCATAAAGCAAATCCATTTAATACATAGACACTTAGTATACCAATAACGCTTGTTATATCTGTAAGGAGTTAATGTGGGCCATCTGTATTTATCTAGTTGAGCATGATTTATGCTTATCTTAGTAATTTCTTCTCTATTGTGAAAATTTTTTCAACCTTCTTTCTATTTTACTGACTACTTAGTACAGTAAACAACGATTTCATTTTTCAGGCCTTGGCTGCTCGGGGATTGAAAACTGGTGGTACACTTCAGCAGCGTGCAGAGCGGCTATTTTTGACAAAGGTTTCTGTTGTTAAATTTCTTCTCGTCTTTACTTATAATACGTAAATGCTGCATCTTGGGTTTCACTTTTCTACTCAAAACATATTTCATTCACCTTATTAATTTTTTTAACATAACTTTTATGGAAACTTTTGTTTTTGTAGATTTTGCATATAAATGTATTTTGTGAGTAAGACCTAAGGAAGTTTAAAGTGGTCTTCTCTTGTTTAGTTTTACATTTCACATTATGTACTTTTTGAATAAAACCTAAGAAAAATTTCAATGGTAACTCTCTTGGGCTTCTCTTGTTTTAGTGTTTTCAGTGTTTCCAGACTTCTGTTCAGATATCCTTTTTCTCTAGAAATTAAATATAATTATAGTTTTGCCCTCCTTTGTTTGGTAGCTCAGATGAGGCCTAAAAGTATTCCAAGGTAAATGAAATATTTTATGGCCTAGTAAACTTAGATGATTGGATTATCGTCTTAGAAGTAATCCTTTATATGGGACAACCAGTCTATGGATTTGTTTGGTGTTGATAGTCACTTGTGCCACTAAAATAATTAGGCATGCTTTTATGGTATTATCTTATCATATTTTTGGTTTTTGACTCTCTTGTTTTTATCCACTGTTATTTTAGGCAATTTTGAGATAATGGAATTTTTCACAATTTCTTATTTTAGTCCACTTTGAAATCTCAAAACCATTTTTATCACTGAGGTAAACCAGATTTCTTAGTTGAATAAGAATCTTACTTGAGTAGCTTGAAATAACAACTTATAAGTAATCAGCGGTAAATGGCTTCTGGGTCCTAGTACATTTCTTAGAGGCATTGAGTGTTCTATCTACAAGGATATTTGAGTAAAGAAGCCTTTTTAGCTCTGTAAATTTCAGTGAACGATTCCTTTCATCTTTACTTCCACTTGTTTGTTTTCTCTTGTTGTTTTCTCCTAGCATTTTTTTTGCATTCTTTCTCCGGCTTGTAGTCTCAATACCAGAGGCTATACACATAATTTAGTTATTAATATAATAATAAAGCAGAAACCATGATTGTTTTGTTTCTGGTTTCCTTGCTACCAAAATGAGAAGAAAGGAATAATGTTGAAAGATCTTTCTACATTTTGTCCTTTTAGATGGACAAATATTCTATATATGGTGCAAATATGATTATGATACAATGGAGAAGTTTGTTCTGCGCATCATGTTCATTTGGCATTGCAATCTTTTTCCATGTTAAGGCTAAACTTTGTGGTGTTCTCTTTTCTTGTTTTCATTGTCATCTTTTTTATGCTTTGCATGAAAACGGAAAAATGAATGTTCCGTAGAATACTAGAATAATAGCACGATATCATTGCTAGTAACTATATGGGATTCCAGAGGAATTTTAAAGTTGGAGAATAATCTGGCCAGAAGATTTTGACATCTGAAGTTGCATAATTATTGGTTTGATTCTTTGGGCTTCACTGCTACTTCTAAGCTGTAAATAGGGCCTCAAAAGCCCTAGATTATGATATGCCTCGACCACCATACATGCACATTGGGTTTATATATACCAATTAGCATGGACCCAAGATCCAAGCTTGTTCCAATAAGCTTATTGGATCGATGGTGAGGATCCATCATATTTTCGGGTCTGCAGGTGCCATTGTCATCTCAGTACCTAATGCATCTAGGTTTCTTGCAATGTTATAGTTGATCTTTTGTTCGACTTAAGATTGTTGATGTGTTTGCGTGGCCCTAGTTTTTTCCCACATTTTTCTATTAACAGTGATGAACATTTTTTTTAATGAGTACGTTATCTTGTATGTATCTTTGCTTGGACGTGTTCTTGTGTCATTTGTTCAATGTTTCAAGGATTTAATGACTTTATTTTGATACCCAGTTTCTTCTCTTGTGCAGTACACACCTTTAGACCAACTGGATAGAAAACATTTCACCAAAGGCTCACGAAACACACAACAAAATGGTGCTGCAGAGCAGATGAGTTCCAAGAAAGAAATTGCTTTAATGGAGGCAAAGTTGCAACGAATATGTGAGTTACTAAAAGAGGTGAGTCTCTTAAAACATCAGATGGCTGGTAAAAGAATATCTTATGCAATTTAATCGTGTGATTTGTTTTCTTTATATTTGGTTATATTTTGAAAGGATTGTGGTCAATGCTTCTGTTAAGCATGCTTTACCTAGTGTTTTCAGTGGCATGCTAGCCTCTTATATAAGTAAAATGTGCTGATGATATTCAGGTTTATATTTGAGACCTTGAGCTCTGACCTATTCTTGATACATCATAGTCATCATATTAAGAACTGGTGTTGGTTTTGGAAGTTATCAACTATGGTAATTGTCCTTTTGAATGTCAAGAAATGACATCTCGGTGGTGTATCTTTTGTTACAGATAAAGTAAGATCTAACTGCACTACACCAAGGTCTCCACCTTTTGTCTATTTCAACAGAATGATTGCATAAATTCTGTTTGCTCAGTTAGAATGGATTCCAGGCCAATTGTATTTTGCATGATTTTAAAATTTGCCAGCATGCCCCATGCTAATTATGAGTTTGTTCAATACGACATGGTTGGAATTTGGTTCAGTGTCGTTGCTCATTACAAGGGTCTGGGCATACTATTGGTACCTGTGATGTTACAGCATGGATGGAGCTTTGTGCAAATCGAAACCATGTCTAGTATCTAAATTTGGAATGAATCAGAAACAAGCAAATTTGGTCGTGTTTGTTCTTTCTGTGTGTATCACACATTTAGATAAGCTAAATATGCATGTCTACCATCACACACAACCCCTAAGTATGCTTAAGTTTGGACTCTGTCCATTGTTAGTGTTTATAACATACGGTTGTCTGTGTTTCTCATCCTGTTGGCAGGTTATTGAACAAACAAAAGAAAATGTTGAAAAGAAACAAGCTTTAACATATGAGGAAATGGAAGCAGAACGGGAAGAGGTAAGCATCCGTTATACTATGAAATCATTATGATGGTGGCTGGTAACAAAAAATTGTTTAGTGTTTTGGGCCTTTACTGATGGATAAGATTTTCACGTTTTAATGCATCGTACTTTGTTGTTTAGATATTTTCAATCAAGTACATAGCATCACATGCTTTGGTAATTTCTGCAGCTTATGGAATGTTTGTACTTTTGTATTTATTTATGTGCCTTGCGGACTTAGATTGCTATACACTTGTACTTCTTTTATATATAACTCTGATTCACTAAGTTAAGCCAGGTCTCATGACCCTGGTTTGATACACCACGTTCAATCATGCAACTTTTCTGTCAGAGGATAGTTTTCCTGTACCTATCTATAGAAGTCTGATTTGTTTTCTATTTCAGTAGTGTTTGCATGGAGATCTTTTTCAAGTTTAAGCAAAGTTCAGTGAACATAGAATACCTCTGGAATATGCATGCTCTCGCTTGCGTTTGTTATTGTTGAAGAAGGCCAATTAAGCTGCTGATTGGCTGGTCGATTGTTGTGGCTGTCATGGACTGTACTTGTGCATGTCCGCTTTTGGTCTTCTACCTTTGATATCTGAGGTGCATATTGGAATTTTGATAGACTCAAGTGAATTACACCTTTTGTGGAATTGTACTTATTAGTTTCTAATTATTTAGTTTTATTACTTTATATTTGGACTGTATTTGTGTTAGCAAACTGTCACGGACTTAGCTGGTTTTGCCTAAGTCGTGCGGTACCCTTGCGTGTCCGTCCGCAAAGGTCAGTCTCCCCGAAGCCTCCCATGGTCCCTTAGAACCCACAAAAGAGAGAACGGGATAGAGAAAACGCTTCACTCGGGATCCACAAGCAAACATTCCAGGAAACACTTCATAAACAATGCAAATTACAAACAGACTTTACAAGCTCTGAATAGTTGCACAACAAAGGGTCAAAATAGTTCATTACAGACCGAAAATCTCTCACAAGTGTTCACATGATACAACCTTTATTTACAAGCTTAAAACGACCACCAAACCCAACTAAAATGGGACTATTAAGCCTTCGGCTGTCCCTCTACATGTTAGGCAAAGTATAAACATATATCAAAAGACACGGACATACATAAGCATTACATCAAACATCTTGTTTAAAAGTTTGTCCGTGACAAAACGATATGTGCAAATGTGGTCGTGTAGGTATTCTGGTACACTGCTCTCTTGCTGGTTCTAGATCTTTTGAGGTGGATGTACTAATCTACTAAAGTTACTAAACGTGTACAATGCATAGTCAGCAATATGATGCAAGATCACTTATGCCTCTTCCATGTCATGGATTTGATGTTTAATATCTCTTCTTCTTGATTGTTCAATTCTTTATTTGTAGCTAGTAATTGAAAGATGTAACAAACTTGGGTGTAAGTCCTACCGGTTACTAGTGTGCTGGTGAACTGGTTTCAATAAATACTATTACTATATTTTTGTTCTTATTTTATTAGTGTACCAACTATTTTTTGTACTATACCTGCCTGTATGTAAAGGTCTAACCTGTATTTAATTTCTGAAACTGATATAGTTGTTAATAGCAAGATGCTTGTTTGTGATGATTATGTATAACATGTGATCTTTCATGCCTTAATAGTTATTTGGATCTTTAGCACCTTAAACTTTGTTGTGTCATTTCAGTCCCACTGATATACCTTTTTACCTCGATCAGGAGGTTATACAAGCTGATACAGAAAGTGACGATGAAGAGCAGCAGATCTACAATCCTCTCAAGTTACCTATGGGTTGGGATGGGAAGCCTATTCCCTACTGGCTTTATAAGCTTCATGGACTTGGTCAGGTATGCTGGTTTGGACTGTCTTCTTTTTTCATGCAGTTTGTATTTTTGTGTACTTTCTAAGCTGAGTTTTTTCCTCATCAAACTTTTGGGTAACCTAAGTTGGTCTAATTAATGTTGTGCTGAACCGTAGAGGTTTTTTTTATTATTTATTTTAAGGTCATAGTTTTTTAGGTCATCTGCTCAATATTTTTTATAGAAAAATATTATGCAGATGATGACATATCGGGGTTGACCATGACCTCCTCTGTTATCATCAGGAATTCAAATGCGAGATATGTGGGAACCAAAGTTACTGGGGACGAAGGGCATTCGAACGCCATTTCAAGGAGTGGCGTCACCAGCACGGAATGCGATGTCTCAATATTCCCAACACCAAGAACTTCAATGAGATCACATCCATCCAGGTAGTAATAAATATCTCTTTTTGTTTTTTTTTTTGGGGGTGGGGGGGGATGTTAAATCTTTGAGAAATACCATCCCAAGCCTAACGAAAAGGTCTATCAATCCATATGAGAGCAGGAAGCCAAAGAACTTTGGGAGAAAATCCAAGAACGACAAGGATTGAGTAAGTGGAGGCCAGACCTTGAAGAAGAGTATGAAGACAGGGAAGGGAACATCTACAATAAAAAAACCTTCTCGGATCTGCAGCGGCAGGGCCTGATTTAAAAACCTTAACGGATCTGGTACGTTATTTTTCAGTGTTTGATTTTGGAAGTCGCGTCAAAGATTTTTAGCGTTATTGTTGGTTGGATGATAGATATATCCTCAACTCATTATTAAAAATTTTCCAGAAGGGCCTGTGGATGGTAGTTTCTACTTTTTTTTTATTTTTGCCTTGCCTTTCCCCCTCATTGCTTATTCTGCAGACTTCTTAGGTAGTAGCAAAATGGGACCGGATTTAAAAATATAACAAATACCAAACAGGGCAATATCAGTGGCATGAATTTCACTAGAATTGACAATGGATGGTGCTCTTTTTATTTTTCGGTTAAAGCCTCGTAAGTCCAAAGAACCAGTGTTTCTATCATGGATAACTTGGTTTATTTACTTTCAGGACAAGTGTTTGGTTTTGAAGCTTCCGGAAACTCAAGTCGACGGAGTAAAAAATATTTGACTAATATTTTTCGAACGTGACACGTCTGATCTTCCTTCACGCTTCCCACAATCACCTCATGAATACAATTACCAAATCTCCTACTACTATTCACTCCATGCGGTATCGACTCCTGAAAACCAAAATGCATATGGAAAGAACAAAAACAGGCTTTATTCCATGTGAGAGAAAACATTTAATGAATTCTGGAACAGACATTGGAATGAGCTTCACCAACAAAATCCATTACTACAAACATTACGAGTGACTGATTCTATGATCAATTATGTTTTTTTTTCTTTTTTTTTGAGAGAGAAAAACAATCAGAGAATCCACTCACAGACATTTAATGAATATTATGGTACTGACATTGAAATGAACTTCACAAACAAAATCTATTACTACAAACATTACGAGTATCAATTATGTGTTTTTAAAAGAAAAACAATCAGAAAATACACTTGCAGATTATTAGAAAGTTGATCTCAATGGAAATCACTGTTAAAGCTGGAGTCTTCCGACGAACTCCCGATGAACTCTCGGTGATATTCCGACGAACTCTCGGCAATCTTCCAATGAGCTCTCGGCGATTTTTCGACGAGCTTCCGACGTATGAAAGCTATCGTATGAAAGCATCATATCCTTTTTCGATAATTCAATCATGTTTTGTTGTATAAGGTAGCAAAAACAATTTTGATGGCCTTTCATAATCCAATACATCATTCCTATTTCCATTTGGTTAACTTCATCATGATGATATTGTTTTGAAATTATAATAGTTATCAAGATGTGATGAAGCAATTTGGTGTTGAAGGATAGTAGATATTCACAGCTTTTTGGAAGGATAGACAAGTTTGAATTACCAAAAATTGTTCCTAAAGCATCAGAATTAGTGGTCCCAACTGATTATTCATCCAATTATTCTCTAAAGTAACAATCTCTACTTTTCTCAGTAATTCCTATGAGGTTACAAATTACACTATCCGTAATGGGTATATGATGTCCTAACAAATAAGTGGAGACCCTATCGTGTTCATCAATATGCAAGTTGTTGTAAAATAACCTAACAAGTTTAAGATAGATAGGTTCACATATTTGAAGGATTGGGAGAATATCTAGGTTAGCAAACCATTGAATATGTTCCAAATCACTCAATTCCTCTAAGTCTACATATTTGCCCTTATGAACATTTTTAGACTCTATGGTAGGAAATCTAAGGACATGTTGAGAAGAATAAAAAAGTAGGGAATCGTAGGTTTCATCTACTCTCCTCTTCCATTTGTCCCTTGAGGATCTTCTAGAAGTCATGGAGACTACATTTATGAAGAACAAATGAGAGGCAAAAATAGTTAATGTAAAGAAGGAAATAATTTAGTTTAGGGATAACCTTAGTGGTTTATCCTTCTTGTGATCACCCAAGGAAGGTTTGGGATTGATCCTTGATTTTGCAAAGGATGAGTGTTCCTTTCGGTTACTAGAGGGAGAGCAAGTGATTTGGGGCTCTTAGGAGAGGTGTAGAGTGAGTTGGGGTTGGTTCTACCATCGGCCCTAACTTGTCTTTATATAGGGTAGATTACGGGCGGTGGCACCGCCTACAAGCAGTGACCACTAGCGGTGCTACTACTAGCTAGGCGATGCCACCGCCTACAGGCAGTGAGCACTAGCTGCATTGCTAGTTTGTGTGGTGCCGACATTATGTGGTTCCATAATGCAAGATTTTTATCATTATGTGGTGCACACACAAACATCATATAAGATTTTGAAGTACTACTTTCATAAGAGGATAAAATTTGTATGGAAGAATTCATATGGCTCATTAAGCATACCATAACTTCATAATTCAAATCTTATCTCAAGTGAAGAAATAATAGCAAACGACCTTGAAAAAAAATATAACTCAATTAAGAAAATCCTGAGTAAAATTTAAAGAGGAACTCATGTATCAGAGAAATTCAACGTACCTAATTCTCTTCTTATAAAATTAAATTATTCCTCAATCAAGGGTTTTATGAAAATATCAGCTAATTTATGTTTTGTATCAATAAATTCTAGAGATATGTTATGGTTGTTGACATGATCTCGTATAAAATGGTGCCTAATATCAATATGTTTAGTTCTAGAGTATTGAATAGGATTTTTTATTAAGCATATTGCACTAGTGTTGTTACACTTTATAGGTATGTTTTTCAGATGAATTCCATAATCCTCTAAAGTGTTTTTCATCCAAATAACTTGAGCACAACATGCACCTACCGCTATGTACTCAGCTTCGGTTGTAGATAATGCAATCGAGTTTTGTTTCTTGGAAGACCAAGAGATAAGTGCGTGTCCTAAAAATTGACATGTTTCGGATGTGCTTTTTCTGTCTATTTGGCAGCCAGTAAAATCAACATCGGCATAACCAAGCAATTCAAAGTTTTTTTAATTTTGGATACATAATCCTAGTTTAGGAGTTCCTTTTAAGTATCTAAAAATTCTTTTAACGACTTTTAAATGAGATTGCTTGGGGTTAGATTGAAACCTAATACAAAGTCCTACGCTAAACATAATGTCCGATCTGATTGCAATGAAGTATAGTAAATTACTTATCATACCCCTATAAGCTTTTTGGTCGAAGCTTTTTCTACTTTTTTTAATGTCTAACTTAGTGGAGGAACTCATAGGAGTATTGATAACCTTTGAATTGTCCATATTAAATTGTTTTAATAAGCCTAGTGCATATTTTATTTGACTAATAAAAATACTATCACTGACTTGTTTAATTTGTAAGCCTAAAAAGAAAGTTAATTCACCTATTAAACTCATTTCAAATTCTTGGCTCATACTTTTAGCAAATGATTCACATAAAGATTCATGGAACCAAAAATAATATCATCAATATAAATTTAAATAATAAAAAAATTATTCTCAAAATTTTTAATAAACAATGTAGTATCGATCTTTCCTTTAGAAAAATTATTTCGGATAGGAAAGGAGCTAAGTCTCTCATACCAAGCCCTCGGGGCTTGTTTTAATCTATAGAGAGTTTAGTCAATTTAAATACATGATTTGAAAAGTTATCATTCTCAAATCCAGAAGGTTGTTCAACATAAACTTCTTCAGAAATAAAGCTATTAAGAAAAGCACTTTTAACATTCCTTTGAAATAACTTAAAATTATTACTACTAGTATAGGCAAGGAGCATCCTTATGACATCTAGTCGTGTCACAGGAGTGAAGTTTTCTTCATAATTGATACCTTCTTCTTGGTTGAAACCCTTGGCCACTAATCTAACTTTGTTTCTAACCATGATACCAAATTCATCTTGCTTGTTTCTAAAGACCCATTTAGTACCAATAACTAAATGGTCATTTGGCCTCGGAACAAGCTTCCACACCTCATTTCTCTTAAATTGGTTCAACTCTTCTTGCATTGCAATAACCCATGAATCATCTTTCAAGACATCATCAATACATTTTGGTTCAATTTGAGAAAGAAAAGTGGCATTGACACAAAAATTTTTAAAAGAAGAACGAGTTTGAACCCCTTTTGATGTGTCTCCTATGATTAGCTCCTTAGGATGAGCATTTACGTACTTTCATTCATTGGGTAAGGATGTTTTGGAAGAAGATGCATCCAAGTTGCTAGTTGAAGGGAAAGGTTCATTTAAATTCAAAGCATCAAAATTAATATCATCATCTAACTCATTTTTCTTAGATTCTTCTATAACCAAAGTTCTTTTATTAAAAATACAAAAGGCTTCAGAAATTGAAGAGTAGCCAAGAAAAATCTCTTGATCGGATTTTACATCAAATTTTCCTAAGGCATCTTTTTCATTCAAGATAAAACATTTACAACCGAAAACTTTAAAATATGAAACGTTGGGATTTTTTTTAGTTCAACAATTCATAAGGAGTTTTGGAAAGTAATGGTCTTACTAGAACCCTATTCATGACATAGCATACCGTATTAACGACTTCGACTCAAAAATATTTGGGTAGGCTATATTCATTTAACATGGTTCTTGCCATTTCTTGTAAATTTCTATTTTTTTTTTCTACTACTCTATTTTGTTGAGGATTTCTTGGAGTAGAGAAATTATGGTTGTATCGATTAGATTTACAAAATCTTTAGAAATCATGGTTTTGAAATTTGTTACCGTGATCACTCCGAATTGATGAAATAATAAAGTCTTTTTTATTTTGAACAAGTTTACAAAACTTAAAAAAATACCTAAAGCAATCACTTTTATGAGCCAAGAAGTACGTCCAAGTGTATCTACTATAATCGTCCACAATGACAAAGACATATTTGCTACCTCCTAAGCTTGATGTATCAATTGGTCCAAACAAATCCATATAGATCAATTACAAAGGTCTAGAGGTGCTTATTTGATTCTTTGGTTGGAAACTACCTTTTATTTATTTTCCTAATTGACATGCATCACACACATTGCCTTTAACAAACTTAATTTAAGGAATACCTCTTACGAGTTCTTTAGATGAGATTTGAGAGATTAGTTTCATGCTAGCATGACCTAATCTCCTATGCCAAAGCCAAGCATCATCATTCAAAATCGAAAAATATATTTCATTACAAAGATCATTAATGTCGATAGTGTATACATTATTTTGTTTTAGGGCAATCATAGATGTGTTTTTGTATGGTTTTTTAATAATACAAGCATTGGATTCAAATCTAATGATGTATTATTTATCACATAATTGACTAATGCTCAAAAGATTATGCTTTAAG